ATATAAGCGTAAAAATGAAGTAAATATGTATTCATGGAAACTATAATTATATATAGGTATAAAAACAAACTGCCCACTCACAAATACGTCGTCGGATCGTAACCCATGAGCCTTGCCTGACCCCTCAAGTTCTTGGGATATGTTTCCCCTATAGGTGAAATAACTATTTTTAAATTAATTAAAACACATATACGGAAACTTAAATAAAACCCCATAGTTTGCTCAAACCTAGGGTTTAAATATATGAAATTGATCTACTCGACGTCACAAACCTACACAAATTTACAAAAAGCAAATCGGAGGCCGAACGTGCCCTCACGTGCCGCCTAGGGCACAGCCATACGCACCACCATGCGCAGGCAGAGGCTGACGGAGGCCTAACGGCCGTTAGGAATATTCCGTTAAATCCTTAACAGAAGTTAACAGTGTTACTTGACATCGTTAGAATATTTCATCATAGTTGACCGAATATTTCAACGTCTTCTCTGGTGGTCCTCGCTAGTCGCTGCCGTCTAAACTTGCCGAAAACTGAAAAATTTCGCCAGTTTCTAGGAAAAATTTCAAACCTTCATATCTTCATCATTTCTCAACCATTTTTCACAAAATTTATATGGAAATGAAGCTTATGAAGTGTAGAATCAGTTTATACCTTTTGGAAGTCCAAAAATGGACGAGAAAAGGCCTGAAATTGGCTCCTCAAAACTCGTCAATTTCGACGTCAACTCTTCCTCAAACCTTTACTAAAGACCTCAAGGAGTAGAGTGGAGGCCTTTGGACTTCCTAAAAACCTGTAACTCGATCACAACTCATCGGGGAAAGGTTGAGCCAAGTTGGACCTTCCGAGTTGGTGAGTCAAAACTTAACCAAATCGCGATCTGGTTACATGGTTGTGTTCGTGGAATTTAGGGGAGTTCAATGGTGTAGGTTGCAGGTCACATTTGAGTGTTTTGAGGGTCTTTTGAGGGAGTTACGGAGTGAGAGAGGTGTCGACTTTGAGAAAGAGAATGAGAAGAGAAAAAAAGAAAGGGTGCTCTCTGATTGGGTGAAGAGTTTAATGGTGATGATATGATTGGTTGCTTTCAAATGAGGGAAAGCAATTGATTGGGTGGAAATGAGGGATTCAAGGAAAAAGCAAGAGTTTGATTGGTGGATGACAAAGGAAGGCACGGGTTGCGTTAAAAAGAAATTAGGGATAGGGTTTTTCAAATTTCCTATAGTAAAATGAATCATAAAATTTATCCATCACAGTGTTTCTAACATTGATAATTTAATACGCACGCATGTACCAATCTATCCGTTATCCTCGTACTTTAACGGAGCGTAACTTTTTCGTTACAAATCCAATTCGAGTCTAACTCGCGTTCACGTGTTTGTGACGATGAGTACTAATTACATACAAAACTAGGAAAAGAAACAACAGTCGAAAACAATGTCCATGTCATATTCCACTTTTTCCCCCAAAAAGAGCAAAATCGTTATAACACACCAATGAAAAAGAAATTCCAGTGAAAAGTAGGGACAGGTTGTCATAGTTAATAGCTCCTTCATTATAACTCCGTTTCACAAATGGTTTGCGCCTACTCGTTCATGAGATTGAGCTCTATCCAAATAAGCAAAGAAATACAATAAAATATACGAGGATAAAATACGTCCTCGTATAACTACGTTAACCAACTAGGGCATTTTCGTTATTTTCCACTTAACGAAAAATTATACAACATAAATAATAATCAAATCAAGGAACGGGATTCCACATTTTCCCTGTTCAAAATTCATAACCCTAATTCAATTTATTTTCAATTTCCTCCACATAACCATAACATAACTAGTTTATATTTTAATTTTTCAGGGTATTACAAAGTTCTAGCTACGCATACAAACCATAAACACTCATTCTTCTAAGAGATGTTGACTTACGCATTGGTGATCCATTATCCAACCCCTCCCCCCGCCCCCCAGCAACCTTGTGGACGCGTGCGACTTTGGTCCTTGATCAAAGATGTTGATTGTTTTGTAGATACAAATTTGTCAAGACTGAAGACAACGGATTTTTAACATCACAATGTTAATTTCGGAAATGATTTTTAACTAATCCTATCACGCCATGTGTCATTATCCGGAATTACAATTTTTGTGGAAAAGTATGGGTTGGGTATTTCGTGGAAAATATATAATTTTTTTTAATTTTTAACATTATTTTCTAACCAAATTAATGTGGACCTTAAGATACAATATATATATATATATATATATATTTTTTTTTTTTGCAATTCAATAGGCCAGGTTGTGCCAAGTGGGCCCAAAATATTTTTTTTTTCTTCATATTTTTATCCCTAAATTAAGGACGAATTAAGATGAATCTTTGGATTATAAGACAGTTAGAAATTCAACGGTCCATGTCAGTTGGAGGGCCTAACGCAAAATATTAATAATAATAATGTAATTGACGTCAGCCTAAATGTCAAACGGACTCAGGCACACACACGGGCAAGGATTGTCTAGTGACTTGGTCCTGAAACCTTGGGCCCACAATTTGCCCGACGTTTTGAGGGAATTGGACTGCTCAATTCTTTTCGCCGTTGGGTAGAGCTGGAGTTGCTCTATTAGAGCAACTCCACCCATGGAGCCCTCCCCCCTGGCAATCCACTATTGAATCCACCCTTTTGAACAGTAACTGCCTTTAATGAATAGTAACTACCATAAATGAACAGTAATTGCCATTTGCATCTCCACCCTTGGAGCCCTCCCCCCTGGCAATAGACAATTAAAATAATAGTTTTTTTTGTTTGTTTAAATAATACAAAATAAAATTATTTGTAATTTCGGATAAAAATTCTTAAATCGTTCTCGTTGTGTCACGTGTCATTTTATCCAAAAAAACAATTATTTAGCGAATGATTTCGATAAGATTTTTATCCAATGTTATCGTGTCATGTGTCGTTATCTTTTCAAAATCTTTGGTAAAAATAAATAATTTTTTATACATTAAAAATATTATAATATTAATCCAATTAAAAAAATTAAAAATTAAAAAAAAAAAAAAAAAACAGAAACCCGAACCCAGATCCATTTCTTCCACCTCTCCTCCTACCCCCGAGAACCCCTGCAAAAACCAGAACCCAACTACCTCCCCCCCCCCGCCGCCGCGACGACCCACCCCCCGCCCCCGCGACGACCCACCCCCCCCCCCCCGCGACGACCCACTTCCCTTCCGCACCCATGGAAGCCCAGCTCTGGTCCCCCCCTCTCTCTCTCTCTCTCTCACACACAAAACAAATCTCCGGTCCCCCTCTCTCTCTCTCTCTCTCTCTGACACAAAATAAAAAATAAAAAATTGCAAAGCCCTCGGGCCACAGGCCCGTCGACTCCCCACCCCCCCTTCGCTCGTGCTCCCACCGTCGCTCGGGCTCCACACGGCTGGAGCTCAGTCCACAGGGCCTCGGGCCCTTTCCTCTCCACTGTCCCCCGAGCAACTAGCAAGGCTGGAGTCGCTCTTAAGACAAGAAAATGTAAATTTAATCTCTTGTAAATAACTCTTGGGCCAAGGATGTTGCAGAAGCGAAACACTTTTCCTTCAACTTTTTAAATTTCTTTGTTACGATGGACGGAATAAAATTTAAAACTTATTGTAATCTTAATTCATTACTTTATCATCCTTAATCACTTAACTAGTAACTGGTTTCCCAATTACACAATTCCAATCAATATCCAAATACATTAATGGACAATTAGTTACTGCCCCATGTCCTTTATGATGCAGCATTGCTTTATTTCCTTGACCTAACTTGTGATTTTCTTAAACATAATCTAATACTTTAATTAGATGATCTCATCATTTTATAGGTAAATTAATTAATACTTTAGTCACACAAATCATCATTTCATCAAATAATTCGGCTCTTAATCGGCCCCATTTGTTGACTTTCAACTAAATCTTCAGAATCCAATAGAATATTTTGGATATATATGTTGGAATTGGATCCCATCCAGATCCATTTTGTGGGGATATGATCCCCACATCTTAATCATTTATCGTGTATTGTGTGGTCAGAAATCATTTAACTTTTTTTATTTATAATTAAACACAAATAATATCTGATAAAAACTGATCACACGATATACAATGAACGGCTAAGATGCTAGGATCCCCACAAAGTGGATCCAGAGGGGATCCTCTTCCATATTTGTTTATCCTCTCCAAACCATGGGGTTTTGGGATCTTTGGAGCGTATATTATATTTTTTGCATTAGTCTAGGTTGTGTGTATACCAATTTCTATTTATAATGCCCATATTCTTTCTGGTAAGTGTGCATATGCTTTCAGAGAAGACTCCCAACAGCGAAAAAAGACATGTTATTAGACTAATTACTAGTAGGTGGTGCACGAGCTTTCTTAGGGCGATTAAAAAGACAGTGCACGTACACGTTGTGCAGAACACAAATGAAAATTAAACTATATTTTCTCCCTCTGGAAATGCTACTCAGCAGAGAGAGGCCAGAGACAAACAGATATGACAGGGAAAGACTCATGGGGTTTGCCACCATTCCTAAATTTCACAATCAGAAAAAGGGAGGGCAAAACATAATTATTTAAGCATAATCACCAGAAAAGCTTGCTTGAGTCTTGATCTAGGGTTCTCTTTTTAAATATTGGCATAGTTAGGTTGCGTTAGGATTTTTTGTTGTGTACAGAATTTGCATTAAGATTTAGCAAACTCATTAAGTTAGGCATTCCCAAACTATCACGTGATTGTCAATTTACTCAAATAAAGGGTAAAATGGATGAGAAAGTAATCCATGAAGTAAATTAACAATTACGGGATAGTTCAGAGGCATAAACGACAGTTTGCTAAAATAAAAATCACCATCTTCACAAACGGAAAGGTTTCTTTATTGCCCTTTCCTGTTTCAGATTATGTGAGAGTTTTCTCGAGTCTGTTGGCCCACGTTTGCACTAGCAAACTTGAGTCTCAGCCAGACCTCACACTGCTGGGTAAAAATTGACAAGAGCAGCAACAAAGATTTATTCCAGGTCCAAAAGCACCACATATTCACTGATTCAAAAGAACAATATTCCTTGTATTACACAAAGCAACAACGACGAATTTTACAACTTTTTTCAATTGACAATGACACATAAATTTATGCAGACACGATCCACTCCCGGAACAATCCTAAAAGAAATGTGGTAAACCAGTCAATCAGGAGAAATGGCTATTTCTGTTGGTAACAGTTAGATTTTTGGAAGGGATTTTGCCCGGATAAACTGTTTAAGAATGGCTTTCTCCTCATCAAGGCGCTTCTTCTCTTCAGGATCTTTTGGTTTAACCTTTCTTTTCTCTTCCAGCATCCACTTGAAAAGTTGGCGTTGTTGATCCTCCGGGATTGGTTCCCGCAATTTCACAGGCTCTGTGATGCTTGGTGAAGGTAGGGGTTTCTCAGTAGTAGGTGTTGTTTGAGCTGTTGTTGGAACGGTAGTAGTCACGTCTTCCTCTATGTCTTTCTTCTTTGTTCTCATAAACAGGTAAGCTACAAAAGTAATTCCAAACATCAGTCTCCAAATAGAAGTGCATTAAGATCCATAATTATGCAACAAAGAAGCAAATAAGGTATTGAAGCAATCATATTCCTAGTGAGGTATTTTCCATTCTACCATGCATCCCATGTCCATACACGCAAGTGTAAATAAATCACGGGCAGATAGACTAAAGGAAAGCCAGTTTTACAGTTTCAAAACAATTCATAAAACTTCTTCCCTAATCTGTTGCAAAAGAAGCAGATAATGCCAGACTGTAAATAGCTGGTTCAAGTTAACAGGGATTACGATCTGGCAAGAAGACATTCTAAGCTGATACAGTTAAAAAATGGCTGCATTCGGTATATCATCAGGTCCCTCACCAATGAATAAAGTCTTTAAACTGAACCACTTCTAAAACAAAAATGTGAACTGCAACCTACGCTCAATGGCAACTACCTCGATTTAGTTTACTCATCAGCATCCCTAGTTACAGTATTGACCAGTTACTGCAAGTAACAAAAAAAGTTGAACTACAGTAGCAAATCACAAAAACATCCTTCATATGTGCTGTGTGCACATGGGCAACCATCAGTTTTCTCAAATTTCCACCTTGACCCTTTACCAGCATGCACAGTCCCATTTGAGCATTACTAAAATCATACCGAATGGGAATGCACAGAGTTCAACATATAAAACTTACACCAAAAAGTAATTACCAGTAGCTTATACCAAGTAAATACAGACTACCCTTCATCACTACATCTTGTCATGTAGTACATCTGAGGGTAGTATTCAAGAAGTTGGTTAAAGCTTAAAAGTCACCCAAGTAATTTTAAGTCCATGCTGATACAATTTCCATCACCTACAATTCACAAGCAACTACCAACGAATGTAGAGAATCTAGAGATCTTCTCTTGAAGGCTCCCCTGTCTTATTACAATAATTGTGATTGTTACAGGAAGTAGGATGCTGGGAAAATAAAATTCAATCTGTCTAATCAACTATTTGATTGTAATTAGCAATCACATGTTTTGGGATTTGTAATTATTTACCCGCATCACACACAGCAAAATTTAGACATCCAAACTACTTTTAAAAGGGCTTTTGAACTCTCATTACCCTTCCCCATAGATATACATTAACATACAACCAATCAGCACTACTCATCAACGACTTCAGCATATAGAAGCATTTCAGGCCTAACTACCTACTCAGTATGTACACTTAATGTCCTTTAAGGAGATCATTCTTTCAAAGTCAAACTTGGATCAGAAAAATCGTTCAAGGGTTTTTCCCTCTAGATGATATGATAATTAAATTTAAAATTTTAAACAGAACACAGCGGCCCCAGAGGGTAGAGGGCAGAACTTACCCCTACACAACTTACTGACAAGAAAAAAAAAATGCCAAAGAATTCATACGCTGCACCAAAATACTCTACTCTTTCGAGACGTCCTCATTCGTATTCAGTCACAGATTCACAACACAAATCATACATAATACCCAAGGCACTGTAATCCTCTAGCCTACAGGCCACACGGTGGAAACTACTCTGATGCCAAATGCAATGAACCCACAAGTCGAAATTCTCCCTCTAAAACCAACTTAAAACAGGAGCTCAAGAGCTCATAAACTAACCCACTCTGTTTTTCTTCTCTTCTTTTATGTGGAACAATTGGGTTTGGGTTCTGACCAAACAAATGAAATCAGAGTCAATCATTAGCAGTTAATCAACAACTTATCGAACAAAACCGCCATCAAGAAAAGCATTAAGAGGTACTAAAATCCATTTCCAATCCACCAGTATCTCATACTTTCTTTCACAAACAGATACCACGATTACAAAAGGCTGGCAGAAACAAAAAACCAACAATTTATTCAATCAACTTAAAAGGAAAGAGAAAGGGAAATATACCTCCAACGCCCAGATTGACAGTCAAGAGCAGAGGCCAGAGAAACTTGTAACGCCGAGCAAACGACTCCTTCGGGGGCGGAGGTGGCGGCGGAGACGAAGACTGAGCCGACGTCATTGTCGATGGCGATGGCGAAGAAAAGTCCTTCCCTTTGTGTTGATCCTGAAACTGTTTCAACTGCGCTGTTTATTTGAAAACACAGAAAGCGACTAATAAGATTCCAAAACCCCAATTATTGAAAAGCAAACAAGATTCTGATTTCAACAGCGGTTGAGACAAAAGCTGCTTCTGATTAAGAAAAAAGCAGAAATGATTGGCAGGGAAGTTGGGCTTCTACCTTTCTTGGGTTTGTTGGCGTAGAGCTTGGGACCATCTTCTATCATTGTTGCTGGAACGTCCGAAATTCCTTCCTTTCTTCTTCTCCCCAAACTTCCAAAGTCCTTTTCCTCGCGTACTCCACAATCTACACTGGTGTTTGCTTTTCTAACTTTTGCAGTCAGGTCGTGATTGGGCCGGGCCCGGTTCATCACGCTCCGGTCCAGCTTAGACCGGACCTCTGGCTGATGAAGGGCTCGAGTTTCCCGAGCTTGGACTCCAGCCCAAAATCAAACATGAAATCTCAGCCCCGGTGTTGAAATTGGGTTGAAATTCAAATGTTATGCCCTCAAAATTCTTTATGGCTTGTTTGTAATCTTCTCAATAAAAAAAATCAAAAACTAAAAATAAAGCAAGTTAAAAGGACACGCGTCACTTAATAAAATTGGTGCAGGAGATATGAATTCAATCACTTAACTTCAACCGCAAGTCACTCAGGGGTTCTACGAACCTACAAGCGAACTTCTCACTCATTCAAATGGTCAGGGCTAAAAAAGGATGTCCAACGATTTGTCGCTGCTTGTTACGTGTGTCAATGCCAAAATTATGAGGCTACGAAGCCGCCGGTTTACTCCAGCCTCTGCCAATTTCGAAAAATATATGGCAAGACATTGTAATGGACTTCATTGACGGGCCACCTCAGTCACATGGTAAAAGTTATATTCTCGTAGTCCAAGTATGGACATTTTGTGCCTGTTACCCATCCATACACTGCCTCTAAAGTGGCTGACACCTTCGTCGAAGAGATCTCCCGCTTTCATGGAATGCCGACATGCATAGTCAGTGATGGGGATTTCACATTCCTGAGTCAATTTTGGTTTGAATTCTTCAAAGCTCAAGGCATCAATCAAGCTTTGCGATTCGACAGCTTACCACCCTCAATCGAACGGAGAATCAGAAGTTTTGAATAGAACATTGGAACATTGTTTAAGATGTTTCGTCGAAGACAAACTGACAAGCTACAGCTCCAGGTTACCATCGGCTGAGCGATGGTATAACACCACCTACCAAAGCGCAATAAGGATGACACCATTCGAAGTAGTTTATGGCTACCCACCGCCTACTGTGGCTTCTTATGTTCAAGGTTCCGCATCACTCTATACGATGGATTCTACTCTACAAGAGTGAGATTCTCTCCTAAAGCAGCTTCACCATAACTTGCAGATGGCTTAGGATTGGATGAGAAACTATATGAACAAAAATTGTACTGAATGCGAGTTCAAGATGGGCAATTTTGTTAATGCGCGCTTCCGACCTTATTGGCAGACCACAATGAAGAAAAATCATTGTCACAAACTTTCTCCCGCTACTTTGGACCCTATAAAGTCCTGAAATGCATTGGTAAGGTGGCTTACAAGCTAGAGTTGCCCCCAACTACTCGAACGCACCCTACATTCCATGTCTCTTTGTTGAACAAAAAGGTGGGTGATAATGTCAGCTCCTCTACTCAATTACAGCCACTTCAACCAGATGGACAGATGGACAGATGCTACGTTTCGTAATCTCCGTCATAGTTGGATCTCGTAGTATGAGAGCAAAAGTTCCAACAAACTCTAAAATTTCAATTAGTTCCAACAAACTCTACACATCCTAGCAAGCATTCATACAAGTTTTTTCCTGTTTTGTGAACAGAATACAGTTGTTTTTTGCCATATTGGACGGATTCAGTTGCCCAGTTTTTCTCTCGTTATGGACGTCAAGTTCAAGCGCACCATCATTAATCAGTTCCAAGGACGACCGCCTCCATAGCCCCTACCACGATCTCGAAAGCCCCCATGACCTGATCAATTAAAAATGACAAAACAATACAAATTCAGTAATGTTTATTGAACCACTCATCGACACAATTTAGCATATGCTGATTCATGGACGCCACTATGCACACCAATACATTAAAACCAACACGCACATTCAGAGCATGTGCATAAACATTTCAAATTCCCTGAAACTGAAGTACACAGATTTAAGAAAACATAGTTTCTTACTTCTAATCAACTTCTTCAAACTAAATCACATATGATCCCCAGAAGATGGTCCCTCTTCAAAAATTAAATTTTTTGTCAAGATATTGGAAAAAGCTAAATTTTGGTACATGGTCCATACGTTTGTGCTTTATTTATCAACAAAACTCTGACACTGACATCCAAACTTCAATGAGCAAGATGGACAAGGTAACCTATTCATCAAAAGGGGTATCCACTACATGTACGTATGTGTCCAGCAATATTTTCTAAAGGCGTCCAGACTAACTGACCTGAAGGGGGAGGTGGTGCACCACGACCCATTGCTGCCAACTCAGGACTGACTTTCTGTCCAGCTTCCTCAAGCAAGGCAATAAGTTCCTTTGCGAACCTAGCATTAGCAGCTGTAAAGAATGTGTAAGCTGTTCCTTTTGCCCCAGCTCTTCCGGTTCGGCCAATGCGGTGAACATAATCCTCAAGGGATCCAGGAAAATCATAGTTAATAACAAATTTCACATCCTTCACATCTGCAACCAAATCAAACATCACAAAGAGAGATTAGAAACGAGAATGTAGACCAATTCATAGGTTAAGTACATTCAAGAAATTCTGCTTGATTAACACACCTATGCACCCCAAAGTTAGCAGTTTTTGCCTACCAAAGACCAAAGGCAAATCCGATGCACTCCAAAACCTTACCTGGCTCAAAGGGAAACAATTATTCACAGGCAGAGATGATTACCACCAAAACCTAAGGATGAAGTGTAGGCTTCCCAAAATCAGTACCATCCAGCCAAATGTGGATGGCAATAGATTCAAATTAACTACTGTGTAATACGTATTTGTTCCAGTCCAATTATACAGTCTAAAATTTGGTACAGATGCTTCAAGTATGCACGAATAGCCTTAATAATCAGAAAAATAGTATTCTCCTTTGTGGGGTGGGTCTCATTCCACATGGGAAAGTTGGGAAATAATTTGAAAAAAGAGTTGGGAAGAATATCATCTTTCAGTAGATAAGTAACAAAAAAATAATGGGCTGATAAACAAAAATGTCATATAGACATAAGATAGAACATGAGAGAGAGAAAAATCAAATGGTGTCCAGCATGCCTTTGACAATCGACGCTACGAAATTCTCTTAAGTGAAAACAGCTTCCATTTTCTTAAGTTACTACCATGAAACATGATTTTGGAGGGGGGCGAAAACATTCTATTCATAGATTAAATTAAGTCTTCAACTGTGGAAGATAATGCAAATAACAGATAAAACCTAACCAAATAAGAATTCCTTTCAAGTCTTTTCACAAGCTTAACAGAAATTCTTTCCATACCTAGACCACGAGCAGCAACATCTGTTGCAGTCATTATGGGGCTCTTGCCCGCTTTAAACTCGGAGAGGACCCAATCCCTTTCTGCTTGACTCTTGTCACCATGAATCGAAAGAGCAGGCCAACCATCCATGCGGAGCTGCCGAGTGATCTGATCACATCCTTTCTTAGTATCCATGAATATCAATATTCTGCTGCCATCCATGATATCCTCGAGCAACTTTACCAATCTGGAAATTTGAAAGGAATCAGAAAGATAACCTGCAGAAAATATGACAAGGCTAACCATTTGAAAGTTACAAACCAAAACATAGATAGCACCCTACTTGTTATATTTCTGATTTTCAGTAATGATGTCAACGATTTGGCGGATCGAATGGTTAGCTTTCAAATCTGGAGAGCCTATTATCACCTGTTCAACATCCAAAATATGTACATTAGTTGTTGGCATAATAATATTATATATACGATAAGAACTATTGCAACCACATGATAGAAGAAAAGGGAATCTTATTACTGCCAGTTTCTTGCAGTATCAATAATTGAAGGTGACAAACTGACAACTGAAGACTGTCCTAAAAGATGCAGAGCACTTTTATACTAAATGAAAGATGGAGTACTTTGTATGGGTTGTAAAGGAACTGCCTCGCCAGTTGTTCAACCTCCTTTGGCCAGGTAGCACTCCAGTATAATGTTTGACGGTCTGGGCGAATCTGCATTCAATAATATTAGAGTATAATGACAAATTCCAACTGAACATAAACTATGAGAGAGGGTGAGAGTGATATGCAGGGGAAAAATTCATTTTCACTCGTTTCTATAGACATTTCAGGATGCACCTTTTATGCAAAAATGATTTGACCTACCTAGTTGGGCTTGACTAGCATGTACCTATGTCATAATACTTTCTATGTATGTCATACTCTAACAAATTACAGCCACTAGAATAAGGAGTAGATCCAGAAGCTTCCCAGTACAGCAGTGCGTTACAATACAGGATCATAAACAAACACACTTAATGCTGTTTTGTGATGTCCAACAGCTCAAGAAAAATTAGAAACATAAAATACTCACTCTTCTGTCAAAAATCAAACTACTGATACTCCATGTGCTGTTTATCCAAAAAGTGCTTGAAATGGTATTCACCAGAAAGTTCTCAGCATGTGTAATGGTAACAAATCTTCTTACAATATGATTGAAATGATGGATATAATCATCTCCATAATTACCATTTGAGGCACAATGCTTTTCAATGACATTATTTCGTTTTGTTGGAGATGTATCCAAAGAACAAATGGTCTGCGATCTCAATCAAAGTCTTAAAGAGGAGCTGTATCTTTGAAAGAGTGGCACCAACCAAACATAAACATTGGGGAAAGGAAAACACAAAAAATACATGCACCACTTTGCTACCACGAAAAAGCATACATTCACTGATGATTCACCAAGATATTGGCCCTACCATATTGTATGCATTCTAAAAGTTTTGACCTGTGTGCAGATCTTCAGTATGGTATGAATAACTTTTGAATGACCCGTAACTTTCTCCAGATAATTTGAATTTTGAAATAGTAATACATGTTTTAAATAAACAAGCATTACCCAGACTAGTGTTAAGAATAAGTTTCCTAACAAATCAAGACATTTTGTGATTTAAGAAACCCAGAGTAATAACTTTAGAACTGCTCAATTTCTTCTGAGCTAAGTTGTAGACTTTAAAGACATTCACTAATGTTTTCTAGCTTTTCAAGAAATCATAAGTCCACATGAACATCAGTAGGAATCAGAAACTAGATACGACTTTAGAAAGCGAGAAAAAAAGGCTTTGACATGGGGAGGAAAAACTAAGTAATAAATCATCCTGATACACAGATAAAAGTAGAACATGTTCTAATGCATACAGATTGGTAAAATCTCAAACCTGTGAAACAATCTTCC